TTTATTGGGGTGACAATTGTTAGTAAAGTTATATAGGCTGCAAGTGTACTATTCTGTAATACATCATCTATATATCACGTTGTGTGTTCAAATACATGGTGATGGAAGAACTGGTTCTGGGTGGTGAACACCCAGTACTATTGTGTGAGGTCCTTTCCCAAGCTTTTGTCTCCATTCTTCCAAGAAATACTCAATAAACGCCTGGCTGTCAGGCACCATCCTAGGTGCTGGGGATTAAATGGTGTTCACCATCAGGACAGGCCCTCCCTTCATGGGGCAGTAGTCAGAGAAACTATCATTGGTTATTAAACAATTAAAATAATAAATAGAAGTTACATCTATGGCAAGAGTGACAAAAGAGAAGTACATAAGGCTCTAAAGAAGTAAAATAAGGACTAATATAATCAGGACAGATAGGGAAGGCTTCTCTGAACATGATTATCAAAATGAGATATGAAGACACAGAAGATAACTGCAGGTGAGGGTAGAGATGGGTGGGGAGGAGAACCCTCCAGGCAGACAACCTCTGACTTGGTCTGAGATTCACAGAGACAGGCGGCCACGGGCCCTGATGGAAGGATAAGTGTCAATTCTTTACTGAGGATCTTGCTCCTCTTAAATGGAGAAAAGTCTAGATCTGAGCATAGGTTTCTAGGAAAGACGATGCAGAAATGATCCTGGCATCTTGCCTGACTCATTTTCTTTGAGTGAAGATAAGGTCTTCTCTGTTCCTTATTTGGAGGAATCGCACACACGCTGGCTATCTTCAGGAACTCTTATTTTAGCATATGCTCCCCACTCCCTGTTACAGGCAACAGGACACTCAGCATCACTGCTTATGAGAAGCACTGTAACTCACTTGTGGTTAGGGCACTTGGTAAACACAGCTGCTGGCCCAAGTATTACAGGAAAATCATTTGCATCATTAGTTTGGGTGGGTCACTTCCAGTTTTTGACTGTCTCTTCTTCAAGAGATTGTCCCAGGGTGGACACCGTGGTTTTTGCTCCGGAAACCAAGTGGAAAGGGATCTTGTCCACCCTTCCTTCCTCTCCCTCCTCTCCCTTCCTTTTACCTTTTTCTGACATTTTGGTCACTAAGTCCTGTCAGCTGACTCAGAAGGCTGAGACTGCAGGTGAAAGTGGAAGACACACTTCAAATTGGACTATTTTAGCTCTCCCTTCAGAGATACAAGGAAAAGGGCAGCCCCAGTGTCAAGCTGCCCCATTTTTTTTAAATTTATTTTTTATTATTAATAGTTTCAGGTGTACAAAACAATGCAATAGTTATCCTTTTTACCCCTCACAAAGTGACAATCCCCTCCCCACCTTCACTGCCCTCCCACTCCAATTGCATACTTATCTATTACAATTCCATTGACCCCATTCCCACACTCTACTCCACATCCCGTGACTATATGTATATAATACAACTATATAATTATAGTTGACATACAATATTATTTAACATCATCTTCAAGATATACAGTGTGGTGGTCATTTTTGAAGCAACAAAGAGCCATGGGGCTTGGAGTAATTTCCAGCATCAGAAAGAAAATAGATATCATTAAAAATCAATGGCACCTATATTAATTTATAAGTGAACAGGAACTATTACTTCAAGTCAGGTATATTGCAAGATTCCTGGAACAGAAGTCCCTGTAAACCCATTCTTGAATCCACCCCCACCCTCCCATGCCTTATCTTCACATGTATACATGTTAGAGTCTATTCTACCTCAAGGAAAGGAGTCACAGAGGGGAAGGGGTTGAATTCATAAAAAGTTGCTGTGATGGCAACTCCCTCAAAGATCTTTTTCTCTCTTCTCTCATGTAACTGTTTTTTCTCTGTTCTCTTTTTCCTTCCTTTGCTTTATCTCCTTTTTTCTTTTCTTTCTCATCCATTCCCTCACTTCTCTCACCTCTCCTACCGCTTCTCAGATTCACTCATCCACTCATCATTGTGTTTCTCAGCATTGTCATATATTCATTCATTTACTACACATTTATTGNTTTCTCTCTTCTCTCATGTAACTATTTTTCCTCTGTTCTCTTTTTCCTTCCTTTGCTTTATCTCCTTTTTTCTTTTCTTTCTCATCCATTCCCTCACTTCTCTCACCTCTCCTACCGCTTCTCAGATTCACTCATCCACTCATCATTGTGTTTCTCAGCATTGTCATATATTCATTCATTTAATACACATTTATTGAAAGCCTTTGATGTACCAGACCCTATTCTAGCCTCAGGGCTAAACAGCAAGAAAGGCACAGTCATTGCCCTCGTGAAATTTACATTCCAGTGAAGAACATAACCTAAGCATATGAGTGACAACTAAGTAAGTAAAATTGTTTCAAATTGTGGTAAGATGTATAATGGAAACAATAAGGCACTGGGTAATTGTGAGGATGAGAGGCAAGCAGGGGTGTGTCATTTGGATCAGAGGTTCTTAACCACCTTTGTGCCATGGACCATTTTGGAGTTTGCTGAACCCTTTTGATTCCTTCTCAGAGTAGTCTTTTAAATGTATAAAATAAATGGAATTATAACTAAGACAACATCTCTGGTAGCCCACTGACCCCAGGTTAGATTTTTTGTAGGACATTGTAGAGTTTGGATAGTATTTTAAGTGAAATAGGAGGTAGTTATAAAGTGTTGATCAGGAGAGTAATAAGGTATTTATATTTTCAAAAGATCACTGTTGTCACTATATGGAAATAGATTTCATGTGGCCAGCAGTGGAAGCAAAAGCGTATTTAGGAGGCACCTGCTTTGGTGTAAGAAAGAGATGATCCTAGTTTAGACTCAGATAGTAATCATGGAGAAGCCCGTTTCTAAAAAGTGTCAGTTAGAATCTGCCCATAAAGGAACATGCATCCTCTGAAAAGNAAAAAAATAGTTTTAGGTTCACAGCAAAATCAAAAGGAAGGTACAGAGATTTCCCTTATATCTCCTCCACCTACACATGCATAGACTCCTCCATTATCAATATTTCCCACCACACTAGTATATTTGTTACAGTTGGTGAACCTACGTGGACACACAAAGTGCATAGTTTGTGTTAGGATTCACTCTTGATATTGTGCATTCTATGGTTTGACAAATGTATAATGGCCTGTATCCATCATTATGGCCATACAGAATATTTTTATCACCCTAGGAATGATCTGTGCCCTGCCTATTCATCCCTTCCCCACCCCAACCCCTGGCAACCACTGAACTTTTTACTGTCTCCATAGTTTTGTCTTTTCCAAAATGTCATACAGTATGAACCATACAATATGAAGCATTTTTAGATTGACGTCTTTCACTTAGCAATATGCATTTACAATTCTTCCATGTCTGTCTGTGCCTTGAAAGCTCAACCCTTTTTGGCACTGAATAATATTCTATTGTGGGGACATTATTTTCCATTAAGACGTCTTGGTTGCTTCCAAATTTTGGCAATTATAAATAAAGCTGATATAACATCCGTGCAGGTTTTCGTGTGGACATAGTTTTCAACTCCTTTGGGTAAATACCAAGAAGAGCTATCGTTGGATTGTATGGTAAGAGTATGTTTAGTTTTGTGAGAAAACAACAAACTGTCTTCCAAAGTGGGTGTACCATTTTGCATTTCCACAAGCAACAGATGAGAGTTCCTGTTGCTCCAATTCCTCACCAGCAGTTGGTGTTGTCAGTGTTCTGGATTTTGGTCATTCTAATAGGTATGTAGTGGTATCTCACTGTTGTTATAATTTGCATCTCACTGATGACTTTTGGTGTGGAGTACCTTTCCATATGCTTATTTGCCAATTGTGTATCTTCTTTGGTGAGGTGTCCATTAAGGTCTTCGGTCCATTTTTAATCAGTTTTTTTGCTTTCTTATTGTTGAGGTTTAAGTGTTCTTTGTATATTTTGGATACAGTCCCTTATCAGATGTGTCCTTTGCAATTTTTTTTCTCCCAGTCTATAGCTCATCTTCTCATTCTGTTGACATTATCTTTCCTAGAGCAGATGTTTCTAATGTTATAAAGTCCAGTGTATCCATTATTTATTTTATGGATTGGTGTTATATCAAAAAAAGTCCTNGATAACAAAAGATGAATACGAGTCACGTGTATACCCTTTTTTGGCACCCCCGGTATATACAGAGAGAATGCTAGATGAACATAAGAATGGCCACCCACAGTCAAAGACAGAGCCCCGGAACAGATCCCTCCTTCACAGTCCTCAGAAGAAACGAGCCTTGCTGACAACGCCTTGATTTTGGACTTCCAGCCTCCAGAACTGAGGCAGTAAATTTCTGTTGTTGATATCACTTAGTCTGTGGTGCAGGAGGTCCCTGACTTACGAACATTGGAGTTGCGAACTTTCACAGATATGAACGCATTAAGAAGATTCATAGATGCAAACAAATTGCAGAAGTAGCTCACGTGTCTGCCGGACATCGTCACAGTTGTGCTGCTGTGTGCTTACTGTACAGTGGGATAGTGTACAGTAATGCAGTGCTCAGTCAGAGCCCAGGATGTCCAGAAGCAAGAGGAAAAGCAGGGGTGATGTAAAAGGGATTGCTAGGAAGCGCAAAGCAATAACCATGGAAACAAATGTGAAAATAATTGAGAGATTGGACTGGGGCGAAAAGATGGTAGACGTCGCTCATTCTTATGATATGAATCATTCAGCCATTGGCTTTACATTGTATATTTGTGTCAAAGGTGTATAAGACTCACTTTGTCAGACTTATGAACAAATCCGAGTTAGGAACGTTCTCCCTGGAATGGAACTTATTTGTAACTCAGGGACTTACTGTACTTCCTTATGGCAGCCTAGCTAATAGGCTAATACAGACCCCTTCCCTGGGCTGGACTTCTCACTACCTATCTCTTCACCAGAGAACTGCCCTACAGGAGCCCTCAATCCAGAGCAGCCCCACACCTACCGATGAGGACTGGCTGAAGCAGGGGCGTAAAGCCAGACACCTTGGTATGCCCATCGCAGAGCTCCCCTGAGGTATCTATCAGGCTGAGGTGAAACCTCAGCTGAACCCTTGATGTTCCCGTCTTCTTCCATTGCCCTACCTGCTTCTTTCAGTCCCTTTCGGGACTCATCTGAAAACTCTCTTTCAATCAATCACTTGTATTCTCATCTTAGGCTCTTTTTCTAGGGAACTTGACCCAAGATAATTATAGATGTAAGATGTCCCATTATGAAATACAGGCTATCTTTAGATATAGGTTTGCCCTCTCTTTATGAATGTCTACTCCTCATGAACCTTAAACTGTCTAAAACTCTTTTCATAATGAGCTGTCTAGAAAACATGGAAATGAGAAAGCCAAATGAGGACACTGAAATAACACATTCAGTTTATATATACATAGTTATGAGATGAGCATAATATGAATTTAATTACTATCTTCATGGAATTTCAGAAATGAAGGTGCTATTTTAAAACTATTTTGTAGTTAGAAGAAACCTGTACAAATGAATCTAAGTTAGGAGTGGTTTCCAAAAGCACTTATTAAGCTATCATGAATGGAATTACAGATAACATATTCATGCCAGTTCTGGTTTGCATTTTAAGCACACTCTAAGGGACTATTCATATTCTTATTTGAAGAATAAAAATGTAATCCTCTGATTCCATATTTGTAAACATCAATGATAAGTCATCAGGATAGAATATCATCAACTTTTATTGTTTACTATTGTATTACCTCTCTAAATGTTCATACAATTCAAATGATATCAGGCCACTCTGCATGGTTCTCACCAGGACATCATCAAGCCCAAACCAACCACTGTCTCGGCTTCTGAATCCCAGTAATTTCAAAGATTCACAGGCATTGTTCCTAGGTTTTCTTATGGAAGCACTTTTTGTCCTATGTAATGAGAGCAGAAGAGAAATTGGCAAAATTTATATAGCATCAATCACATGCCATGCATTCACATTTTTCATTTGGTGAATAATCTAATACCAATTTATTAAACATATACTGAGTGCCACTAATTATGTACCAGAAGCTCACAGTATTGCAATATTATCCAATTACAGGACAAGGTGATGTGAGGGAATTAAGGGAACGTACCGGGTGGCTTAGAAGTAGAAGGAAAGTGCTCAGGGAACCTGGCAAATGTTCTCATTCTCCAGAGCTCATTTCACATATTTTACTACTGACAGACAAGTTATGAGAACACCCTGAAACATTAATAAACTCGCTGATGTAAACTCGGATGCCTTAGGAGAGCCAAGAGTAGCGATATGGCATAATAGGTCAGACAGACCACAGTCTCTGAAACAAGACCGCCTACTTTCAAATCCTCAGGGGCTCTCCTTATTAACTGGATGAGCATGGGGGAGTTTTCTGATCTCCTGTATCTGTTTTCTTATCTATGAGACCCATAATAGTATCTGTATCATAGGATTCAATGAGTTAGTATTTGTAAAGAACTTAGAATTGTTACAAGCATAAATGACATTAATATTCTCATCCGAATTCCTACAGCAGACATAGCCAGTTAGCTTTTTTGTGCAATCTGGCTTAATTTGCGCAATCCAAATGCCCTGAGAGAGACAGTTGTAGGTACCATGTGATACTTTTCATCACACCAAAGCTGATCTGACTAACAGTAGACCAATTTCCAACACCCAGTGAATTTGATTCTTTTTCTTTGGAATTTGCTAAGTAAGAGGCCCAGAGATTATAACTTATTGTCCTTTGGTTGCTGTACCCTGGGCTATGACAGTGAACAAACAGAGAGATGATTAAGAAAACAGAAAATGAGCAGATGCTAAGGAAAACAAGAAGAGAAATGAAGATGAAAAAATCAGTATTGTCTTAGAGACGGAGAAAGCAGAGATTGCCTGTTGTAGCTTTATAATAAACTTCTCTTTTCTTGAATTCACTTAAATGGGGATCTGTTCCTTACAACTAGAGAAAGAAAAATCTTTGATACTGAATGCCTTATAGGAAATCAGTCAATCAAACAAACGAACAAAAAAACCTCGGTTCTAATGATGCTACAACCCACAAGGGAACAGAACCATTCTAGCTAGGCACGAGAAATGCAAATCTAAGTGTGAATCACACATCTTTATTTGTGAATATAATTAGTTATGGGTTTTAAACCATCATAGTTCCATAGGTTGAGCTATCCTATGACCTATATATTAGGAACTGAACTAGATTGTAAATGTCTACTCAGGAAAATTTAGACTTTGCTGATCCCTTTAGGGGATAAACCAGATTAAAAATCAGGAGGATAAGGGAAAAATGACATTAAGTTTTTAGCTTTTGGTTTGTAACCACAAATGTGGTAAATTTTGTAACTCTTGAAGTGAATAATTTATTAACATAGAAAGATACATTCATACTGAATCCAAGACTTTGGTTATTTACTAGAAACTAAGTTAATTAAATGTAATATTAAATTTTTTTGTAAGGCCAACCCTTACTTTTTTCTACCAAGCGCCTACATTTTCTGGGGGATCTTACAGGCTCTCAACTGTAGTAGTTCTGACCCTACTCCCATGTCTAGGTAGGACAGATAGTACATTGGGCATTTATTAATGCTGTTTGCAAAAAATCCAATCCTCCCCCCACCATTCTGAGTGCATGATAGGATTTCACTTCCTTGTCTCTGATAATTGTGTGGGGCTATGTGACTAGTTCTGGCTAATGAATAGTTAGTAAAGGAAAAATATGTCACTGTGAGGCAAATCATTTAATTACTAATGTGGGCCTACCCAAAGTTTCTTCTGCCACCATGACAGTAAACAGACAGTGGTTGCCCTTTCGCATAAGGTTGGGAGTGAAGACCACCAATAAGCAGCCTACCGCTGATGGCCACACAGCATGTGAGGGACATAAAGAGGGTCATAAGCCCTTGGGATGTCAGGCTGTGCCAGCATGCCATAACCTAAGCTAACCTACCCTGTATAGTACCTTTCTTCTGCTCCCAGTGATCTTCCCAGTAATGGGTTTGTGACAAATATAGAGTCTGAATAAGACTCAGGGTGTTTATGTATATTCATAGGGAAAAGAGCTTCCTCTTTTCCATTGAACTTGGAGTTATAAAGATGTAGCCGTATTGCAGCATGAGGGACAAGCATGCCAGAGAATGAGAATTGGCACAGACAAAGGCAGAAAAAGAAGAAGTGAGAGACTGGGTTCTTTCTGGTTTAAAAAAAATATAAAGATAAATATATCCACAGATTCTTAAATTATATGCACCAAAGAACTCCATTAAAAAAAACCACAAAAAACAAAAATACTTTGGGTTTACTTTCCTAAAATGATTCCTTAATGATATAAAGATGAAATTTAAACTTCATTTTTTCCAGCTTTATTAAGATATAATTAATATATAACATCATGTAAGTTTAAGTTATGCTATGTGATGATTTGATCCATGTATTTATTGTGAAATGACAACCACAACAAAGTAAGTTAACAATCAGTCACACCGAACTTAGACTTTACGATCATAATAGATACAATCCCTTCAAAATTAGACTATTTGGTGGCATCCTTATTTATCCCAGCATTCTTCACAACTCTGCAAATAAATGCTTTCTTTTATATATGCTATTAGCAAACTTTGACAACTAGAATTGCCTAGCAGTGAACAGCACTTACTTGATCATACTCCACAAAAGATAACATTCTGATGTTCTGAGTTCCACAAAACATCACCAACCTTTATTAAATCAATTTTTTTAATCAAGAATAACTTGTTTTTTTACACCTGAAACTGATAATAATAAAAAATAAAAATAAAAAAAGAATAACTGACCTTGCTATTTCTTGAGTACAAACCTCTTCTCGTCCTAAATTCCAGGCATTTGGGGAATTATAATTGACCCATTTTGAGTCAAGTGTTCAATTACAGTGAACAGGGATATTGAAAAACATGAAAGATCCTGTTAAATCCACATAGATAGAAAGGACGGTTTCTAGAATTTGTGGTATAATTCCTCCAAAATAAAGTGTCTGGGTAGACAAAGCAACAGGTGTCTACTCTAGGCTGCCCTTCTCAGGCCTAACGGCACCCTGAT